GAGAGGCCGAAACAGCAACGGTACCGGTCAGTCAGTCAGTCYGGTCTAGGTCTAGCTAGAGTAGGAAGTCTATAAGTCTGGTAGRAAAATCGTTGGGGGACTTTTGGCTTTTCATTTTTCGCATGCAGCGTTTGGGGCCAACCAAGTTGTGCAGCGCTGAGAGTCTACAGCGGCACCTGAGACTTCAACTACGTGAGGCAGCCATAGCCGGCCTACTTGAGACAGCCATASMTGGGGCTGGTSTCAACGCATCTACCCTCTGGGGGTATCTRCGCTTGGCAGGACTATTCAKAGGCTCTTCGCTGGGTATATGTGGGCGTTGCTGCTACGGTAGCAGCTTGGCAGCCATAGCTGCCTTCTTCATCGTCAGAGTGACTCATCGRCACTGGGGACTACATCGCTGTTCATGATCTTYATCTGGGTGTATGGCGCTGGCCTCTGGGAGGCTGTTTCAGTGGAGCGCTAGACTCTGGGAGTGGAGTAGTGAGTGGAGTGTGTGGTACTGAGGTGGCGAGATATTGGGTTAAACTCTGTAACGATARTTGRGGTTAATTGASTTKAGTTGGCTCATCATCTGTGTCATATTCCAATTGTGATCTTCGCAGTGTCATATTGTGATTGGTTGTTGAGAGTGTGTAAGAGAGAGAGAAACACCGTGTGTATTCTCCCCTTTTGTGCATGGTTGCTATTCCGCTGCTTATCTCTGGTCTGTGTGCAGTTGGACTCTGTCTCCTCCTCCCCTTTGTCTCATGCATGTATGGGCGTGTGTGCGTTCTTCAGTGTGCGAGTGGCAAACAAATTGTCAGACAACCAAGTTCATAACACAGGGGTACATCCTTCCCCAGGGGAAGTAATCAATGTCGTCCACTTGGGTCTCTCAGCCATAATGGGGAGGACCGTGGTGTGTGTCATTATTGTATTCACCTTTGACTTGCCAGGGAAAGAGGAACCGGACTGTTGCTCGCCAGAACGGTAGGAGCCAGAACAGAGAGGTTCTTTTTTTTTTTTTTAATAAATAAAATGCAAGGAATATGAGCGATAAATCGCAAAATCACATAGTAGCCCAGATTGTCATGTACCTAGCAAAGAGCACAATGAACCACGATACCATCCGAATACAGTGAACCCAAATGTTAATGCTGACGCTCTCTGGCCACACCAACATAGTATCCAATGTCGCTCCCACTGAATGGCCCCCAGCACCCATCCTATCTACATTCATGCAACAGGACACATCGAAGTTGAAGACCAATGTATGTGACATCATCGACCATGCAGACCGCCAACATACACGAGGTACGTGACTCGAACTTCCTCTCATCACACCCTGTCTCCCCTCTGCATGCGCCTCCTACCCGAAGACCACCATCACCATCACTGCGCCTGCGCCGGCTATGGCTGCCTTGCGCCGGCTGCCTCAGCAGGCCCCTCTCACCTCAGCACCCGTGTGCGCGTCACGCCTGCAGCGTAGCGCAGCAGCTCATGTGCTGGTGCACCAGCGTGACCGCATTGCCCTGCCAGGCCAGAATGCGTGCCCCTGGGCTCTCACTTTCCTATATGGAAAGTGGGCCCTCCTGCTGGCCGTTCTGGGCCTGACATGTAGGGGACCAGTAGTTTCAGGTTGGCCCCAAGTTTCTGCGCCCAGGCCCAGTTTCAGATACTGGTCCGGGCCTCGTGCAGTTAGGCACGTCCAGGTAGCCCTCCAGGCTCCAAGTGTTTGCCTCATTCTCATTGACACACGGTAGATGTGTGATGACAATGCTGCATTCTCATTGGTCCGCGGCCACTGCGTGATGTGTGGCCTCTCACTGCGTGTGCCCAGGGCGCAACCACCTGATCCTTGGGCTCAACTGGACAGCACGGCTGTTGCTTCTGGAAGGAGCCACAGAAGGCTCACGTTGCTCTGTAACCAACTGGCGTGCTGCAACTCTCTGATACCCCACGTACGGAAAAATGTCGAAAACAGGCCTCTCGTGGATGTACATACCCGCCTTCACTTAGGGCGGGCACGAGGCTTGCTGGGGGCCGCAGCCCTGAACATTTGCATGCCCGAGAAGGGCCTCACGAGGGCTCAATCCTCGCACAAATAAAAGGAATTCCGTATTAATTCGCATATAAGAAAGTTTAAAAACGAAATAGAAAAAATCGAACTAAAGAACACCCCTCTGAAGATAAACCCCTTTCAACCCCCTTTCAACCCCTATTCAATCCCCCTCAAACCTCGTGTTTACCCCCCTTTCCTCTCTGCAACACTTTCCAAAATCAACGCCCTGGAATTCCATTCAAATATACCTCCTGGGCGTTATAGGGGGGTTCTATTCGGAAAAAAGCGAGCGAAAAAAGTTTCAAAAAACAAAAAATCTGAGTTTTTAACTTGTTAGGGTAAGTTGAATATATAATGCCGGGGCGTTATTTTCAGGTGGAGATGGTATATTGCCCAATCACACACAATTTCAGAACATTCAAAAATTGCCCACCAAGACACACATCCGGAGAAAACTCAAAGCTCAGAAAAATGTAGCAGAGCAGACTCATACTCAGCAAAACTCGGACTTGAACTGCCTGGGAGTTGCTGATAAATCTGTCCCACTTTGTCAATTTTGCCTGCGGCGTTTCAGCTTTATAAGCAAACAAGTTCAGTACTCATGTCCAGGGTCTGGAAGGTTTTTATTTGTACCTTATGTTATCTCAAAGGTTACTGGAATTAGAGGAGGTAAGAACCTTAGGATTGCAATAGTGGCAGAGAGTGTCGCATGCCCAGAAACATCAGATGGGCATGGCGCAGTTGGAGGAAATCCAAGAAAAAGAAGAAACAACGATGTGATGCAGCAGAACACTGGAAATGAGCAGATGTGAGCCATTCTGACACGGACATGAGCCAGATCTCAGCAGCATACAATCGGATCAGGTCAGGCAGCACATGCACAGAAGAATGCTGCCTGACGTCACATACATTTACACTGACGAAGGGATAGGGAAGGTGGGACGAAGGGGGAGAGAGGAAGTGAACGGGCACACAATGTAGTCGTCGACCCAAGTAGTCTTCCCCAAAGTCTCAGTGTCCACAACATGACCAGGTCTGTGCGTCAACCCTCAAGATAGTTTCCAAGTCTCAGATTTCTCCCTCTCTCTCATGGATGAGGAAGGTGGATATGGAGGGTGGAGCAGGAGAATGGAAGAAGAAGAACCCCTTTCTCCTCTCTCTCAGATGGACAGATACTACCCACGAAAGATGACGCTTGAGCTGGCTGATGCTGGACCTGACGGCCCCTGGGCCAGCAATGGAGACCAAGCTCTGGCGTCAGCAGGTGAGTCGCCTACCTCCCAGGGTCCTCTCTGTCTCTCCGCCGCTATTCCTCCTGGTTGCAGCACTAACCTAATGCAACCTCCTCTAGCGCTGCACAAGCAGCATAGCGCCAAGCCTAACCCCAAACACTGTGTAAGGAAGTGAGGCTGGATCCAGCTATAAATAGCACTGGGTCTAACAATCCTTAGGGAGGCCTGAATCCAGGGCCGTCCGATCTGTCAAATCGATCAACGGTCCTGGATGCTAGTCCGAAAACTGGTCCAGCCTCGAGCCCTAAAGGTGGCCTTCTCTCACTGCTGCAAAGCGACCAACAGGGCTGAACCAATCAGAAAAACGGTTCAGCCCAAAACCTGGAAATGCAGGCCTAAGGGCAGCCACTGGGCCTGCAGGAAAACGACCTGGACCAGCATGGTCCAAACGACACAACAGGACTGGGCTGAAACTGAAATGGCACAGCCCAGGCCGACACACCTGGGAACAGACAAAAAAACGGTCTGAAAATAAAAAAACAGACGGACAAAAAGTACTCAGACCTAAAACACACCCGCACGCCCTCAGTACCTCTACCGGGCCTTTAAACCACCAGTACACCCGTGCCTGGAGGTGCGCACTGCATGCCAAGCCTTTCCGAACCGCCAGCAGCGCACTATTTTCTTTTTTTTGGCTGGCGCCACCAGCCATTGTGGCCTGGTAGCCCTGAGCCCCGAAAAAAAGTTCGAAGTTGGCAAATCGTCATTTCCTGCAAGGCTGGGGCAGTCTACTAGCGGTTTTAGGCCCTACTGAGCCATCACGGGCCTGATGGGCCTCTGTGGAAACGGAGTTTGCCACACAGTGGAGCTCCTACCTTTAATGGGGAGAAGTGTGGGTTTGTTGAGTTTTGTTCACTTCTTTACGACTTGCTGGTGGATAAAGAACTGACTGCCGCTTCCACGACCCCCCCCTCCCCCCCAAAGGAACAGAGAATAAAAATTGGTACTACTACAAAAGGGTGCACACGAACCACTAAGGAAACATGGGAGTGGGAAAACGGAACAAATGAAATGACATGCAAGAGTAACTCTGTGACTGACCCATGCCCTCCTTACCTCTACCATTTTGACAGTGGAAGACCGTGGATGCCCGAGCATGCAGAAGTCATTTCGATCTAACGAGAGACGGCTCAACTATTATGGCCAGGCGTTCCTGGTGCTATTTTTATGCTACAAAGAGTGTGAACGTGTGACCAAAAACACTCAGGTCTGCGCCAGCATAGTAATAAACATAGGACAAGTTATGCCTGACCCTGAGAATCAGCACACACTGTCTTTTCAAATATAAACTGGGTCATTATAGTTGTGCGCCTACAAGGGAATTTTCGGTTGGTAACTAAAATCACCCTCTAATTGTGATCCTGTGCTGTCTCGAATATGTCCTTGCGAAGATCAGATTTGAAAACAGGTCTAAGAAGAGACTCTGAACATTGATTGAAGAGTGTGAAGCCTCTGCCAAAGGAAGCTTTCTAATTGTAATCCTTTGCTGTCTCAAAAATGTCGTTGAGAAGGTCAGATTTGAGAAAACAGTGTCTAAGAGAACGTTGAATAGCATGTGAAGCCTTCTGCCAAAGGAAGCTTGAAAGGGGGCAAGGGGGAGTTTAAAAGGGCCGCAGAGTTGAACAGAGGGTTTAAAAGTGAATTGGTCCATCGTCCTGTAACAGGGACCGGCGGCAGTCAGAGGGAGCTATGAAAACATTATGGACTGTATGATTGGTATAGCAAGAAAGCAAGGACCTATGGGATTCTATGCTGGGTTCGTGGCATCAGTTGCCACCTCAGCCCCATCATCAGCAGTGTTCTTCACAACCTATGAGTTTGTGAAACAACTCTTGGAGGACCGAACCCACTCCTGTGAAAAGCGCCGAGGGCTGGTCAAATGCTCCAGCAGCAGTCAATGGCTACCACCCATGGTTGGCGCTGTCGTTGGAAACATGTTCGCAAGCGTTGTTCGCGTTCCTCCGGAGCTAGTCAAGCAGCAAGTGCAGGCAGGAATCTACAGGCAAGTAGGTATGAGATAACTTCAAACATCCACTTGCTGAGTCACGGACTGAGAGAGAGAGAGAGAGTTCTTCTTCCTCCTCTTCTAAGTCCACCATCTCTTCTTCACCCTCTCGCTACCTGACTTCCCAGTATCTGCGGACTACGAGAGAGAGAGAGAGAGAGTTGTGACTTTGGGACTTGACGACATTGGGTCCAGACTCGACATTGGGATTCAGACATTTGACGAGGGATTATTTGGGGCCTGTGCCGAAGACTTGGTGTTGACGACATTCCCATCTTCCCCTCTTCTTCATCTAACCCCCCTTTTTTTCGTCTGTGAATGGTTGGGGACTGGCACATTCTTCCTGTGTGAGCGCCAGGCCCCTTCACACCATGGAATGGTGATGATGTATGTTTGGGGCTGCATTGCAGCATTGATTGTTCGGATCATTGGTATCTAAGTCTTCCGCTACGCTATCTTGTACTTTGTGAGAGAGGTCGGTTCTTGTTCTGGTCTGCACCGTTACGGTATGTGACACGTTGTCAATGGTTATTTTTAATATTTATTTGTCGTAGCAATGCTTTAGGTAAACAAGTAGAATTTAATTTATGAGGACCAGTTAGTGTTGCCATCACTAACTGGTCCTAATGTATGAGGAGAGGATTAGGCCAATAAGATGGAATTCACAGTTCAGAAGTCCCCTTTTCAGCATTCTCACCATCTTAGTACCTCCTCGTTGTTGGCTCCACCGCAAAACAAACCATCAAAAGACCCTTACTACTGTCTTCTCCCGAACATAATGCACAGGCGTTGTTTTCTAGTATCCGAAAAAAAATCCACGATTCGAATAGAACACAAGTGCATTGTATTCGAATATCAGGGCTGTTCGAATAGAACACACTTGCTTAGAAAGCGGCCTATGCGTTGTATTCGTTTACAAGTTACAACGCATATGTGTTATGCTCTGGGGAAGATGGTAGTATTGTCTGCAAGGGACGCAGCCTGACATCCGGCAGTTGAAAACGCAGTTACCAATAGCCTCCCCCATGCTCCGCTGATCTGCATTGCCAAGCTCAGCTCCACTTACCAACCTCCTGGTTCATCAGGTTCTCAAATCACAGATCACAGTGCGCCTCCCAAAGCCATATTGCATTGGACTTTTCTGCGTACTGGGGTCAGATCGGGAGTGCAGAGATCCAAGAAGGTACCCTGTCTGGGGAATGTTGTGCAAGACGCTCAGTGAAAAATTCAAACAGCAATGTTCCCACAAGGGGCAATTGGAAGATGGCGTATCATTCTCCGAGACGTGGGACGACAGTAACATTGGTGTACTCGAGGTGGGAGCAGCAGGGAAGGGCTCATGGATGGAAGATACCTCCTTGCTGAAAACATGCATTACTTAGGGAGAACCAGGAGAGGGGGGAGGAGAAAGCATGAGGAAACCAAAAGTAATCATCATCAAACCTTCCCTCCGATCAACTCCACCTCAACAGCAATCCCTCCTCAACGAATCACCACCTCAAGGATTGCAGACTAAGCAAAAAATCGCCCACAAAAGCCGGCAGAAACAGCGCCACTCACATGGTAGGATGGTAGGACAGTCTGGCCGCCGTTGTTTTGGGATAGTGTTTGTTGTGTCTTTCTCTGGGGGAACGGTCAAAAAATAATGACTTGTGACTTTTGTTGTTTGGTACAGGTTGGTTTCCTCTGGCCCACACCCCTTTTTTAATGGTATGCAAATGTGCTTTCAGGGAGATGGGTGTGTGGGCAGCGGGCGCTCAACCACACCAACGTGGTCGGTCTTGCACTTGGGGAAATGTGGTCAGCTACATCAATGTGGCCAGCCTTGCACTCTCCATCTTCCTATAACTTGAGGTTGCTGGCAGGATCTGGTGCTGATATTAGGGTATTCCATAAAACAGACATGCGCACAGAGCACCTAACTGATCGCTGAAAGGCAAGCCGAATGATGAAGAACAGGGCACTGAAGGTGATGCAGATCCCACCCTCTCGTCCGCAAGGTAACTCTTATTCTGGGGTTTGTACCTCTTAACCTGGAGGGACACAGCGAACAGTCACAATGAGGAAAAATAGGACTGTCCCTAAAACATACAAACATAGTTAGGCTAAGGTAAGGGAGCCACACATGAGGGAAAAAGTTCTCCGACAGCCGTTGTTCTGCAATTCAAGTATCAAGGACGCACAGGGGAAACCATTAACACTCTCGGCCGAGGACACTAAGTGGGGGAAGTGGTTAGAGCACGGGGTATGACAGGTCAAACACCTATGGGCAGAAGGGGAAAAGCGGTGGAAGACTATCTGAGAACTTCAAGGTCCTCTTGGCGGCCATACCACAAGGGTGGACAGAGCTACTGCGGAAAGGAACACAGTGGTGCCTGGGAGACTGGGCCACATGGCAACATGACAAGGAACCAGGAGAAGCCTTCAGAATCTGGGGCCAGAAGCCCACAAGAAAGGAATGGCTGCACGCGGACATGTATACCATCACAAATCCAGGCAGCACCACTTGCCTACTGGATCGGGACTCCAAAGCACCAATCACCATTCAAAAACAACACGTGTGTAAAGTGAGAGTGGTAGAGACAGAGGACTTCACAATATTCTGCCCAGCCACACTGGTGGAAGAACTGGAGGTGGACCCAGGGGAGTGGGCGTGGAACATCAGAAGCGGAAGAACAGGAGTGACCAGAAGGGTCAACATCTTGTACTACACCACTCAAATCGGGTACAGACTGCGAAGGAGATCTCACCCCCTGACGACACCACTGTCAAAGCGATGGGAGAACAGGGTAGGGGTACCACGGAATCAACTACCCAAAATACCATGAGCATTGATCAACACAATACGCCTGGGTATAGTCAGAAGTATGCAGTGGCTAATAGCCCATGTGGCGCTTTCGGTGAACGCATGGCTAAACGAGAGAAGAAGTCAGGCCCAAAGGGACCCGGCCAACGCCTTGTGCACAGGTATGCCAAGCAGGGACCCTGGGGACAATGTTGCACTACCTCTTGGAATGCGCAGAGGCAAACAGTATTTGGGAGGAAGCCAAGACTATCACAGGCTCCCTTTCCGTTATCCACGACCACCGTATTGCTGGGACTCGACCTCCCAAGCCAATGGCAACCATTTGAGAAGCACATGTTCCAGCTGATAAGACAATACAGCCTCTGGACTATTTGGAAACAAAGATGCCAAATCACCATCGAAAAGCAGTCAATGCACAAGCAGGAGGCAAAGGAGATACTCCTCACACTAATTGAAACCGATCTGCAAGCACAATGGAAGAGGGTGAGGAGGCAAAGCCAGCAACATCCGGAACAGGCTCATGAGTACAGGACTCGCTTCATCCAGAATGTGCTGGGGCAAGAGGTGGTAGCTAGTAGTCAGGGTGTTAAACTGGTATTTAAATGGAGAATGGAAAGACCGGGAGGGAATAGGATGAGGTGTCGGAGGTAAAGGCAAGGGGGAGCAACAGCAGTCAGGTGTAGGGCTTAAGGCGAGGTTAGGTGGAAAGAGAGAGGGGAGGGAGAAGCTAGGCAGAGTAAATTAGAAGTTGGTTTAGGGTGTAACACGTTGGGGCACTCCACAGGGGCTTCAGTTCTTCCATGTCAATTTAGCCTTCTTACCTCTTAAGAGCGATCTGGGGGTAGGATTGTCATTTCTTTCGGCTCTTAAATGCAACCTAAGGGCAGGGGACAGTTCTTTCCTCTCTGATTTTTGTATTTTGTTAATCCAGTTTGGTCTTTGTTCAGGAATAGCATGTAGCTTGACAGGAGAAAGGGACACTGGATCCATTTTCCAGTATGAGCCGGGCGCAACAGACAAGAATGGATAGAAGTTTATAGAACACAGAGAGACACATGAACAAGGGATCTGCCGTGTGGAACTGAAAAAACAAATAACTTGAAATAAGTTACAGTCCAAGGAAGGCAGCAGGCGCAGAAATTACCCAATCAAAAAAAAAAAAGAAAAAAAGGTCATGGTCCTTGTGCAAAAATGCCAATATAGATGACATCAAAATAGAATGAAATTCAACGCCGTGAAATAAAATAAAAATGATCTAGTCCGAAGTTTGTCTGGGCAAATAGGCCGCCAAGTTGGGACCTTGGCCGATTGAACATAAGTACAGGATTGAGCTAGCCCGGTGTGGCACTGCACTATGAGCCCAGGTCCCAAACACGCTATACTCCGTGCTTCCTAAGAAGAGCCCCTGGAAGAATTATGAAGGTGTTGATCTGAAGTAGAGGCCATACACCCTGATGTCAAGGGGTGAAAGTATGGAGCTTGAGACGCGGCTTTGGCCAGTTGGCAACTCCCACAATCGCTGATTATGTCATTAGCAGTAGCCTGGAGCTTAGCCCGATTAAGCGAGAGCAATCGTCCCTTGGTTTGTAGGACTTAAAGAAGGGGCCTTATTGTAAAGCTTCTACTGCGAGATGATGTTTCACGCCTGCACAGCTGTTAAGAGAAGCGGCCTCCCATGAAGACTTATCTGGAAAAGAGTCTGTCTCAACTGGAATGTAAGATGCGGACTGGACTATACTGCAACACTCTGTAAATGAAAGGGACACAGACCGGGGGGCTGTTAGACGGGACCTAACTAGAGATGATTTTTAGGTCAAGGTTCTTCGCGCGTGGCGCTAACTTCCCCTTCCGGACAAGGGTATGCCAGTCCGATGGGAGGAGGTGGCACGACAACTACTTTTCGATAAAACACATATCACTGACCTGTACGGGAGAGTTTACTGGAGCTCATGCCCCCTGTGGAATGGTTGGGTCCGGGATATTTGGGATTGTGAGACAAGGAATTGGAAAAACGGACCAGCAATTAAGGCCCACTTTGTGGCACTGTCATGATATTGGAAGAAATCTGGAGGATTTGATTTTCTCTATCCCTCTGGACTGGAGGCGCGTGTTGCGCAAGGGGGTGCAATTGCGAGTAGGAGATCGGGTAGCAACACCAGATGATATCGAAAATGTGGGGAAGGTGGCGGAG